TTTCAGAAACTCAAGTTTTATTTTTAATATTTTTTAATTGTAGATGGACACATACCTTTATTTTCTTTATTTATCTTTATGTGGTGCTAAAGATTGAACCCAATACTTCATACCTGCTAGGCAAGTACTCTACCACTGAGCTACAAGCCCAGCCCCTCAGGTTTTAAAAATCTTGGTTAAGACTAAAAATAAAAATGAGACTCTGAGCTCTGTTATTTTGTTTTAACACTGTCACCACCCCTAGCCTTTTCACAATTTTGTTTTGACTATGACAAGGAAAGCAAATCAAATGCTTAGAACAGGGTTGAACAGAACATAGATTCTTATTCAGGCTAAAGTTAAGTATGACCTTAATTAGTAGAAGAATAAAACTAAGTCCAAAATACTTATGTTTTACATGTCCTGTGAGAGAAGCAAAAAAGAGGGATGATTCCAGATTTCAAGGATTTTATAAACTTGTAAAATCAGATTTTAATTTGCATATTAACTACCTTAAAGAAAACTGAAAGTGGACAGGAAAAGGTATAGATTATGCATAGTATCCTACTGTGGATGAGGAGGATTACTGAGTATTGAACCAGGGGTGTTATATCCCCAATTTATATTTGAAACAGGATTTTATTAAGTTACTGAGGGTCTCAGTAAATTGCTGAGGCTGGCCTCAAACTTGAGATTTCCCCTGCTTCAGTCTTCCCAAGTAGTTGGTATTATAGGTGTCACTACACCCAGCCCACCTATCATTTTCTCAAAGGTGATTATAATATAGTGAAATGATAATTACAATGATTTGTTGGAAATAAAATTCAAAACTCATTTCTTTCAGATTTTATTCTAGCCTCTGCAACTAACTAGTTATATGGTTTTAGGCAACTTACAATTTTTGTTAGTTTAGGGTTTTGGGGGTGGTGGTGGCAGGTGCAGCAGTGTAACGGTGCCAGGGATTGAACCCAAGGCCCAAGGGCACTTTACTACAGAGTTATATCCCAGCCCTTTTTATTTTGGAACAGGGCCTCACTAAGTTGCTGAAATTGGCTTTGAACTTGTGATCCTCCTACCTCAGCCTCCCAAGTCGCTGGGATTACAGGCCTGTTACACCTGCTGCATCCTTTGAGTATCTTAAAGTCAATGGGCAATCATTAGGACTTGACCAATGTTCATACTTATTATTGCTTAAAGACATTTATTAGATTGAAAACAATCAAAATGGACATCAATAGGAAACAGGTCTAATTAATTATGATACATCTACTAAGATCTCCAAAATAAATCTTTTTGGGGGGGATGGGTACCAGGGATTGATGAAGCATTCAACCACTGAGCCACATCCCCAGCCCTATTTTGTATTTTATTAGAGTCAGGGTCTCACTGAGTTGCTTAGCAACTTGTTTTTTGCCAAAGCTGGCTTTGAACTCATGATCCTCCTGCCTCAGTCTCCAGAAAGTCTGGGATTACAGATGTGCACCACCATGCCCAGCTTCCAGAATAAATCTTAAGCAAAAAAAGTTAGAGTCTTGCAGAGTATGTAAAGACTAGCACCACATATATTATGAATGATATATATTATTCTGAATTACATGATATATATTCATCAAGTCTATATGAAAAGTCTTGACACTAATAACATTTAAACCTGTCAGCAGAACTTTGCTAAGACAGAAGGAGAGTTGGAGGAAGACTTCTCTGTGTACCATTTTATGCTTTGGGAAGTTTTTAAATTTTAACCTTTTCTGGTGCTAGTGATCAACTTGGGGCCTCTCACATGCTAGTCAAGTGCTCTACCACTGAGCTATGTCCTCAGCCCTACGTCTTATTAGTACTGGGAACTAAATCTAGGACCTCATGCTCTAACACCATGTTATAACTTCAGACTCTGAATTTTGTAATATGGAAATGCATTACCTAGTCAAAGAATTCTATTTCCAGCTAGGTACAGTGATGCATACCTACAGTATCAGCTTCTTGGGAGGCAGAATCAGGAGGATTATAAATTAGAGGCCAGCCTGGGCAATATAGTGAGACCCTGTCTCATAATAAAAATGAAAAGGGTTAGGGATGTAGCTCAGTGGTAGAGCACTTGCCTAGCATGTGTGAGGTCCTGGCTTTGATACCCAATTCTGCCAAAAAAATAATTACATTTTAAATTTCTATTTTAAAATTGGGAAAAGCCCATTAACATTTAAGTTGTTTTTATTTTTCTGTCAAGGTGATCATTTTCTTCTTCTAGGCACACTGAGGGGGCACCTGAGGCTCACTAATCACAGTTCTTAAGAACCACCACTATTTACCCAAGATAAATCCAATCTTACTATTTACTGAGTGGCCATTGTACAATAAAAGATTTTCCCTACAGATTCATGAGAACACCCTCTATAATGTCCTCGGTTCTATAATACATTAAAGTCAACTTTTCTCTAAGTTCCTAACTGTACTTTTGGAGTCATCAAATAAACGGTGCTTAGCTGGTGAGATATATATACACGCACATGCACTTGTACTCCATTGTGGCATATATAAATTACTTAAAAAGAAATGTTTGCAGGTGCAGTGGTACACATCTGTAATCCCAGTGATTTGGGAGGCTGAGGCAGGTGATCACAAGTTCAAAGCCAGCTTCAGCAACTTAAAGAGACCCTGTCTCAAAATAAAACAAAATGGACTGGGAATGTAGCTCAGTAGTTAAGCATCCATGGATTTAATCCCTAGTACCTCCCCTCAAAAAAGAAATTTCTGTTATATGACTAATAAATTACTGGTTTCACCCATTTTTGTGTAAAATACACATAACATAAAATTTACCATCTTAGCTGGGTGCAATGGTAAACACCTGTAATCCCAGCTACTCAGAGGATCACAAGTTTGTGGCCAGCCTAAACAACTTAGCAAGACCCTGTCTCAAAATTAAAAACAGAAAGGGCTGGGGATATAGTTCAATGGTTAAGTACACCTGGATTCAATCCCAGGTACCAAAAAATTTTTTTTACTATCTTACTCATATATATTTTTTTGTAGTTGTAGATGAACAGCATGCCTTTATTTATTTTAAAAAATTTTTTTTTGGTTGTTCATGGACCTTTATTTTATTTACTTATTTATATGCAGTGCTGAGAATCAAACCCAGTGCCTCACACATGCTTGGTAAGTGCTCTACCACTGAGCCACAACCCCAGTCCAACATGCATTTATTTTGTGTGTTTCTTTTTATGTGGTGCTAAGGATCGAACCCAGTGCCTCAGACATGCTAGGCAAGCGCTCTGCCACTGAGCTACAGCCCCAGCCTCTATCTTAATCATTTTTAAGTACACAATTTGGTACTGTTAAGCTCATTCACATTGTTGTGCAACCAACACAACCATCCATTTCTGGAACTTTTTCATCTTGTGAAATTAAAACTCTACACCCATTAAACAACCGCTTTTCTACTTTGTCTCTATAATTTGATCACTTAGGTACCTCATATCAGTGGAATTATAAATCTTTTGTCTTTTTTTTTTTAAGGTGCTAGGGATCAAATCCAGGACCTTATCACCAAGTTTCACTCCCAGCTCTGACTTAGTGATTGACTTATTTCATTAAGCTTATTATTAGTATTATTTGGGGGCTGCTGGGATTTGCACACCTAGGGTGTTCCTCGGCCCTTTTTATTTTATATTTTGAGACAGGGTCTCACTAAGTTGCTGAGGCTGGCCTCAAATATGCCAATTTTCCTGCCTCAGCCTCTCCAATTACTGGAATTAGAGGCATGAGCTACTGTTGGACCTAGCAGGAGTTAATTTTTTTATAAAAATATCTAAAATTTTTAGAAATTTCCATCCAAAAATATTGTGCCATTAAAAAACCCCACTTTTAGGACAGTATGGTGATAGGCACCTATTGTCACAGCTGTTCATGAGGCTGAAGTAGGAGCATCACTTGAACCCAGGAGTCTTGAGGTCCCCTGTACAACACAGCAAGATCTTACCTCAAAGCAAACAGAAACCCCACTTTTGCCTATAACTAGAAATTTTAAAAGGAAACTATATTAGAGCATTCTTACACAAGCAATCCATAGGAGGATTCTAAATGAATATTATTAGATTATCATTAAAATATGCAGTCAGGCTGGGTGTGATGGTGCAGACTGTAATCATAGAGGCTGTGAAGGCTGAGATAGGAGGATCAGTTTGAGGTCAGCCTCAGCAACTTATTAAGGCCCTAAGCAATTTAGCAAGATTCTGTCTTAAAATAAAAAAATAAAAAGTCTGAGGATGTAGCTTAGTGGCAAAGTACCACTGGGTTCAACCCCCAGTATCAAAAAAGAAAGAAATAGGGGGTATAGTATAGTGGGAGAGCACTTTCCTAGCAGGTAAGAGGCCCTAGGTCTGATCCCCAGCTGCAAAAAATTAAATAAAATAGGCAATGAAATCAGATTTTAAATCCTTGGGGAAAAGGGAAACTCAATCTGTGGGCATCCACACTTACATGGTAGGATATTATAACACATTAAATGTGTTAACCTTTTCTGATAGCTATTTCCTAATGAGGTCACAAAGTATCCTTAAGTACAAGGAGTAGAATTTTTTTTTTAAAGATAGAAAGAGGAGGGAGAGAGAGAGAGAGAGAGAGAGAGAGAGAGAATTTTTTTTTAATATTTATTTTTTAGTTTTCGGCAGACACAACATCTTTGTATGTGGTGCTGAGGATAGAACCCGGGCTGCACGCATGCCAGGCAAGCGTGCTACCGCTTGAGCCACATGCCCAGCCCAGGAGTAGAATTTTTAATGTCCATTTCTATGGGAATTTTACTTTCTTTTTCTTTTTTTTTTTTTTGGGGGGGGGGGACTGGGGTTTGAACCCAGTACTGTTAAGCTCATTCACATTGTTGTGCAATCAACACAACCATCATTTTTGGAACTTTTTCATCTTGTAAAACTAAAACTCTATACCCATTAAACAACTCCCCATCCCCATCCCCAAGCAACCCAACTTAAAAGAAAAAAAAAAAAAAAACAAGCTTGTTTGGAATAGCAAATTATTTAATTATTTAAGGCTTACAATTCTGGCAATAAATAACTTTATTCTCCAAAGTTAGAAAACTGTCTCCAACACTGAAACAGGTATACTTGGCATAGGCAGTCTATGATCTGAGATGGGTCAGGACTCCACATCGAAGTTTCCAAAACGAGACTTAGGCTAAGTACTGTTGCTTTTATAAAGTTGGCAGTTAAATCTGTAGAAACATTGGTCAGTTCTGGAAAGAAAAAAGCAATTTTTATTTGAGGAGATATTTATAAACATGACAATCTGGAATGAACAAGGAAATTAGGGAGTTGCTGAGTCTCACTCTCTACCAGTAGAATTTTAAATATTCTACTAAATAGTGAAGTAGAGGATAGATTATCTAGATTCTATAGATTATATATTATATAGATTATAGCTTAAATGAGACATGACAGATTGGCTAACAAGTATAATTTGGAAGGAAAACTTGTCATATATACATTATACATCCATTTTACATCTACTTAAGCTCCTCTATTTGTGTGACTTTGGAAAAATTACCTAATCTGCTAATATCAAAGCTTGAAAAGGCGGTAACAGTGGTGCCTAACTCTTAATTGTAGTGATGATAAAATGCCCATAGATCACTTATTATCATGTGTAGTGTATTATAAACAACCAACAGCTATTATTTTTAAATGCTTCATGTGTGTGTGTTGACTAAAAAATAACACAATTGGGGATACAAAGATGAATAAGATTCTCATGGTCTACTAGTGCTTGCCTAGCATGTGCAGAGCCCTGGATTTGACTCAAAGAACTACAGGGAGAAAAAAAAAAATGATGACAAGCTGGGGCATCAGTTTCAAGCTAAGCACTCTCAGGGCCTGCCTTTCAAGATCCTAGGATCTGGGCAGCCCCGTATCTGAGGGACTCTTATGATGGCAGGTACGAGGCATAAAAGGTGGCCTCTAAATCTGGGAGTTAGAGGCTCAGCAATTCACCTTTTCTCAGGCCAGCAAACCAAGCTAGAAAAATGGAGGGCCCAGATCTGGGTGTCACTGAGGCAGAACGAAAAAGCAACGGTGTTGGTGACAGGTCTAACCCTCTGGGTCCTATCTCCCTTGAGCCAGTTGTTCTTGGCTGGTGAATGCCTCCAAATGATACAATCAGAATAGCCATATAACACTCCCAATTTTGCTTTTTGGTTCACAAAGTCTAAAATACTTATAAGCTTGGCCTTTATAGAAAAAAAAATCTATGGATCCCCATTTTAGGTAAGTACTTACTTGAACACCAATATATAGAAATGTGTTATAGACTTGGTGTTTATTCACATAATGTCATCTCTAAAGAAAAAAATATTATGTACAAAAAAATAAACACCTGAAAGTGTTCTACAAGATGAATCCCATGGAGCCCACACTTGGGCTAGAAACTGCTGCTAGTACCAAAGAGGTCTGTTTTCAGCCTGTAAATGTATGAGAGAGACCTTAGCAATTAATCTCTCTTATTGGCCTGCTGCCATTACTTTACAATGTAGGCCACAAGAAGAAGTGAAAATTATAAAATTATGAACTGAACCCTGCTTAAAAAGCCTTCAAAGGCTTCCCAAATGCTTATGAGATTGATGGTATTCTCTGGAAGACGCTTTACCATCCAGCCCCATTTTAACTCCTAACTTCACCTTCAGACACTCCATGGTCATTTCTCTCTCTCCACCTCCAGTCTCACTCATCCTGAACTAGAGTCAGGCTATTCTTTCCTAGACGTGTTCCCAACAAGCCACAGACTATATACACCTGTGCCTTTTTCCTGATGCTTTTCCCTTCTCAAGGAATGTTCTTGCTCATCTTCATCCAATGAACTTCAGGGTTTTCAGACATTCTCCACTCAGCTGCACTTGTATTCTCAGCACTGTATCTGTCTCCCCTGACAGGTCATGAGTGCTTGTATGTAGCTCCAAATCCCTGGTGCCTAAATAAATGCCTCATCAATGAATTAATTACTTCAAGGGCCCTGCATGACTCTTTCTGTCAAAAAGATAATTCTTTCATGGGTCTGCTAAGGAGCCTACCCTCTCCTCCTTCCATAGCTATAATACTGGTTAGTTATTTCTTTGATTCTGAGAACAAAGACCACAAAGCTTTCTCATGCAAGATCTGCATTCTTTCATCCTTGTTTATCTTGTTCCTGTCACTTAGTAAGTGTTCAAGTCTCTAAGGCTTGCATGAAGAATTACTTCAATCATATAAATTATTTGAAAGACTAAAGTTTATGAACAGGAGAGTGCCCTCTTCCAGTAACACTAAGTCCTTTCCTTCTGGGATTGTGGTTTACTTCTTTTTTATCTATTTTTTTTTTTTTTTTTAATTTGCAGTGCTGGGGATTGAACCCAGGGCCTCCCACATAGTAAGCAAGTTCTCTACCATTGACCTCTATCTGTTTTGGGGAGTACAGGATATGGCCAAGTTGGTCTCAAACTTGTGATCCTCCTGCCTCAGCCTCCTGAGTAGCTTGGATAGCAGATGTGTGGTTTGTTTTAGTTTTAGTTTTTGTGGTGCTGGGGATTGAGCCCAGGGCTTCAAGTATGCTAGACAAACATTCTACCACTGAGCTACATCCCTAGCTACCTCCCACCTTTTTTTTTGATTAGATAAATATAGGTCTCTGATTGTATTCATGTTATAATCCAAGTGTTCAAATTATACAAAACTAGCCAAACAAAAATAGCCAAAATGCTTTTCCTCTAAAGATCACCTATAGAATATATATCTTATATGTACATTCTCTTAAAAGGGAATTGGAAAAAAATTTAAGGAAATAAGGAGTATGACTTCCACCTTATATTCAGTTGTTTTCCTTACTGGAATGAAATCAATAATATGAACTAAGGAGGAACATCCTGAATGATATGTTTAGCATGTCTATAGGTTTAGACAACAAGGATCACACCTTTCTGCTCTGCCCTATACCCTAGAGCAGTTAACTTTTGCAAGAAAGTGGAGACAGAAAGACCAGGAAACTCAAGCAGAGTATACCATTATGAAACACTTAATCCAAAGGGAAGGAAAGTCACCAATTCTAACCTTCACAGGCTCTTCCTACCTTTCTAATTGATAAGGGGTTGGGAAGGTAAGTGGAATTTGACTTCAACAACCTTACCCATAAATTCACTAAGCAGGGTAGCAACAAGGATTTGTAGTTTAGTAGAAAGCTAATGTGATAGTACAAACTGCCAAGTGTTTTCCAAACTTCAGAATATGTGAAGTTTCCCTTGTACAATTAACTCTTACCTTTAAAATGATTCATGTTAAATAGTTTTTACTTAAATAAATGTATTTCAAAAAGCATCCATTCCTGTTGTAAACAGAAATCCAGTATCACTTAGATGTTTGTGAGCATAATTACTAAATTCTAGCTGTATGCAGTTTTTGCCCACTGAAGCATTACTGAGGTGTTAAAAGAACATTACACCCAAACTTAGTAAGCGTCCCTGTTAAGAGCAAAAGGACTGAAAAAATGAATAACTTCCTTACCCTAGGATTCAGTGTCATTTAATGTGTTCTGTACCACCTTAAATCTTCTTGTTCCAGAAACCTTGCAGAACCGAAATCTCCCACCCACCCCCAGACCTTATTGCTCCCAAAAGAATGTAACTGGTACTCTCTCTAACCCTAAAAGAAGGAAGCGATTTCCTTATCTGGTTGAGTAGGCAAAACCACTCAGAGCACTAGTGCTGGCTTCAATCCCCAGTAAGTGTGTGTGGGTGGGGTGGGGGGGGGGAGAACAATAACAAAAATACTACCAATATTCAAAATGGCTAACCCATGAAGGTCAAAACCACTTCACTTCCACTAACTTTGTTTTTTCAAGCAAGAGACAACCTGGTCCAAAGGCACTTACTTGGCAGAGGCCTGTGCAGCCAGTCAAATGGCTGAGGTCTGGTCCCTACTAAAAAGGGTGACTTTTCTTTGCTGCCCCCAGAGCTAAATTGCTGTCAGTGGGGAGAGACTGCTGGGACTCCGTGGCTGGATCTGTGCTATGAGTCCGGAGAGACTGCTGGGACTCCGTGGCTGGATCTGTGCTGCGAGTCCGGAGAGACTGCTGGGACTCCGTGGCCAGATCTGTGCTGCGAGTCCGGAGAGACTGCTGGGACTCCGTGGCTGGATCTGTGCTATGAGTCCGGAGAGACTGCCGGGACTCCGTGGCCAGATCTGTGCTGCGAGTCCAGAGAGACTGCCTGGACTCAGCGGCTAGATCTGCAGCCTCAGGGACAGATGACATAGTGTCAGGGAACTCCTGAGATAGTTTCTGGGGTAGTTTCAGACTTTCAAAAACCTGAGCCACTATCTTCTTAGAAATCTCCATGAGAGCTGAAGACTGACTTGCAGAAATCGGGACTAACGTGCTGGAGAACTGGTGGGAGCGATAAATGATCACAAAGTCCTCGATACTACAGGTCTGTAGGTCCACGTTCTGAAAAGACTGGGTAGACGAAAGTGGCATTTCAGAGGCCTGGGGTGTCAGGGTCTGGCTTTCAGAATCCTCAACACTGAGAGGCTGAGTTTGACGGGACGGAGGGAGATCCTGGCTCTGAGAGGCCACAGGTACCAGAAGGTGGCTTTCAGCAGCCACAGGGACCTGGACGGGGCCCTGAGAGAACACAGGCACCGGTGGATGGCTCTTGGCGACCACAGGGGCTATAGGCTGGCTCGTCAAGGGGAGGGCATCTGGAGGCTGGCTTCCAGAGGTCAAGGAAACGACAAACTCGCTCTTAGAAGCAGGAAGGGCGCAAGGCTGAAGAGTAGAGACCAAGGAAATCACAGGCTGGCTCCTGGAGGGAAAAGGAGGGCGCAGTTCCATGGATTCCACAGGGAACACAGGCCGCTCCAGATGGGTCCTCCCCGCAGCTGTAAGCCCCGAGGAGCCAGCTGCCTCGGAACTTCCGTCACCTTCAGGCAAGGGGCCCAAATCCCTTTGGCTAACGTCCGCCATGCGCAGCCTCCAGTCTGGGTCCTTCCTCCCCCATTCCGGCGAGCAGGGGACCACCAAGATCTGGGAGGCACTCCTCAAATTCAGCCTGGGCCAGCGCCCCCTCCGGCGCCGCCGCAGCAGCTCCAGGGTCTGGGAGAAGCTCTCGAAGGTCTGGGAGAAGCGGACGCTGACGCTCCGGCGTAACGATTCCACCACGGAGCCCGACCGGGACCGGGCGGCCTTGGGCACGGCGTCCTCGGAGGCCAGTTCGATGTTGCCGGTGTACCAGGAGACCCACCAGAGGAGACTGAAGAAGATGATGATGGAGCCCAGGTAGAGCAGCATGTCGTAGAAGAGCAGGTCGGCGAAGACGCCCGTGAAGAGCACCGCCACGCCCACGGTGTCGAAGAGGACGCCCAGCCAGAAGAAATGCCGGCAACGGCCCAGGCCCGACCGCTTCCCCGTCATCCCGACGGTTTTACTCGGAAACTCTCGATGGGTTCCCACGGTCGCCGCCGCGACGTCCGCAAAAGTACACCAGGCAGGCCAGCGGCGCGCCACAGGCCGGCTTTGGCCGCTAGGTCCCCATGGCAACGCAAGGGGCGGGGCGAGAGGGGGAAGTGGGGTTGACCCGGCCCGAGAAAGGACCCGGCGATGTGCGCCTGCGCAGTACGCCCCACCGCCCGCCTTCTGCGCCTGCGCAGCGCTCCTGAGTCAGTCCCGGGCTGGATACGTGCTCGGGGGAGCTCCGCCAGACACCCTCGGGCGCTGAGTGTGTTGAAATTATTTCTCCACACCCTCCACCGGCAGTCGGGAAGGGATCTAGCTGCATTCTTTTCCCCACGCCCTCACCTTCCTGAGCGAGGGTGGGGTCTTGAAGGACAGCAAAGGATAAGGACTCTCCCCACCAGCTTGGCCCCAGATGCAGCCACTGGCTGTTTTTCCTTTGTTGTAGCGGAGAGGTGACTAAATTAGGGTCTGTGGTTAGGCAGATCTTGATTCCCATCTTATCTCTCTGCCCCAAAGCGGTGACTAATGACATACCTGCGCTGGGTAGTGGCAGACCGCAGGGTGGATTCTTTATTTGCCGATCTGAGTTCGTTCACGTTTATCCCCAGACCCTCGGTACTTGGACTCAAGTGTTAGACTACTTTTAAATTGAAAGTGGATGTTAAGATGGGCACAGTGGTGCACACCTGTCATCCCAGCGTCTCCGGAGGCTAAGACGGGAGGATCGCGGGTTCAAAGCCAGCCTCAGCAAAAGCGAGGTGCTAAGCAACTCAGTGAGACCCTGTCTCTAAATAAAATACAAAATAGAGCTGGGGATGGGAGTCAGTGGTCGAGTGCCCTTGAGTTCAGTCCGCAGTACCCATCCCCCGCAAAAAAAAAATAGGAAAACTGACCCCGCATGGTGCTGTGACACATGCCTGTAATCCCAGTGTCATGAGGATCTCAGGTTCAAAGTCAGCCTTAGCAACTTAGGAGACCCTGTGTTAGAAATACCGGGGAGCTGTGACAAGACAATTTTTACTTCTGTAGTAGGGTGTGCTGCCATTTTTGTTACATATTAGGAAACTCAGACACAGATTTAACTTTGTCAGAAAAGAGAACATTAATCTTACACCTGTCTCAAAAGATATAAAGGTCTGGAGAGGTAGATGGACACAATACATTTATTTATTTATTTTTATATGGTGCTGAGGATCCAACCCACTGCCTCCCATGTGCTAGACAAGCTCTCTACCATTGAGCCACAACGTCAGCCCAAGGCCACAGTATTTTTGTCCCTCTGAGTTTGGTTGCTACCCTCCTTGGAAGTCCTCTGTTCTGGAGGGCCCAGGTGAGCTCGAGGATTGGGGTTGCAGGTAATAAAACACTAACAGCAGCTGCAGTGGCACCAGCACCGGCACTTCAGTGCTCTCCGCCTGCTCAGTGAATCCATCTGTGCAAAACGCCTTCCCTCCACCATCACCCCTCATCCCCAGTCCAGATGCTCCCTCTTGGCACCAGAATCTGGGGGATCTCCCAGTTCCATTCCATAGCCAAGACAGAGGGCCAGAAAGGACACTCTGCCTGCTGGGCCACACATCTGCGCCCTCACCCCCACTCTGCCTAGGGAGTGTCCAGGGGGAGCCACAGGGAGTGTCCACAGCTCTGACTTGGTTCCCCCTCTGCCTGCCAAGCCATCCCCAACCACCACCCTTTAGTGGGTCCTCTGCCTTTTAGCCCGAAGAGGGCTGCTGCTGATTCTGTGTCCCAGCCTATCTATCCAATGGAAACATCACCCCATTCAAGACATTAGACATATCCATCCCTTCCAATGGAATCTTTCTCTGTTTGTTTGTTTTACTTCTCCCCTGCATCCTACCACCCTCCTGGTGGACCTCTGATCTATGTTTCACATGACATAGAAACTTCCAGATGGTTATATTGTTTTTCTGGATTCTGTAAATCAGTGTGCTCATCTTGAGATGATCACATTGCCCTTCTAGACAATGGCCCTTGCTGCCTTCACCATCAAGGACTCGACCTTCTTAAATAGATGGACACCACAGACACACTCTGCCAGCTGTCATCTATTTCCAGATAATGGCACCCCTCCTGGCTCTCTGGCAGTTCACATCATTTTTTCGGTGAGTTAAAGGTTGCCAGCACAGAGATTTGCCTTTGCCCTTATTCTGCATCTTTAAAGTAAGTGGCAGGAGTTAGTTATACTTTTGAATCATGGCAATGTCCCATAGCAAACTTCGGGACTAAGGCACCGTGTCTTGGAAAGATTTCTCAGGATGATTGCCCATGTCATGGCACCAGGCTTTCACTGAGAATCAGGTCTCCCTGCAGCAGTGACACACAGTCACGATGCCTTGCTCACCCTCCTGGGTTGAGTTGGGATGTGTCGGTCAGCCTGGTGCTGGCACATTGCAGTGAAATGGGTGTTCACCAGCTCAGGTGTCAAGTAGATGCTACTGTATATCAAATGACTTGTTTCCTGGTGAGCAGAAATACAGAGCTGAGAGGAAAGGCTTGAAGTGGCAGAGGACCTGCCAGCAACCTAGGGTGACTTGTGTTTCTCCCCCAATGGGAGGCTTCCTCTCCACTGATTGTGTCTGTGGGTCTGTGCATTTACAGGAAAGCTGGGAGGAGGGACCTTCCAGTTATGGCCTTAGAATTCATGCTTGGTGGGAAGGTAATACTTTTTTTTTTTTTTTGGTACTGGGGATTGAACTCAGGAGCACTCAACCACTGAACCACATCCCCAGCCCTTTTTTGTATTTTATTTAGAGTCAAGGTCTCACTGAATTGCTTAGGGACTCACTAAATTGCTGAGGCTCGCTTTCAACTCTTAATCCTCCTGCCTCAGCCTCCCAAACTGCTGGGATTACAGGTTCCAAGTTGCTTGGATTACAGGTGTGTGTCACCACGCCTGGCCAGTAATACATTAATTTTCAGGGGCCGTTGGGTCATTTGTATTTGTTTCCCATCCCAGGAAGCTGAAAATGAAGGAACATAAGTAGGTGGAATCCCCAAAGCAACTAACTGTCAGAGGCAGAGCAGAAACTGGGGTTGACTACTAAGGAAATAGGGAGCTATGAGTGAATTTCGAGACTGAACACCAGCCTCATGGGAAACCCCTGACACAGGTTTTCTGGTAAACCTTTGTGCAGTCTTTAGACCCAATTATGGAAGATATGGGAACAAAAGTTTGGAGGAAATATATACAGAGAGAGAATTCACACAAGACTAGACAACCTTCATTTATGTTTACAAATCTGAAAGTTACTGCACATTTCTTGATCATTGTGGTGGGCAGACTGGGAGGAGCCTCGGATCACAAACATTTCTGGGAACCGTGCAAACAGTGACCATGATTAGGAAAGCTGTTTAGTGGAAGATGAATCACATGCACAAAAAGGAGGATGCTGTTTTTATATTTTTTATGTTCAGATAACGTGTGTGTCAGTTGTGAGGATGAGGGGACCATGGGAAGATGCTTTAAAATGGTGTCAAGGATCCGTGTGCACAGTTGCTAAGGGTGAAACTTTCCATTGACTTTGCTCACTTCTGGCCGGGGCGCGGGAGGGTGCGGGTCGTGGGCGGAGAAAAGCTAGTGGTTCGGGCGACGGGGGGGCCAGGAGGGCCAGGTCATCAGTCCGCAGACTACAGCCAGTCGGTCCTCCGCCCCGCGACGTGAGCCGCCCTCTGGGCCGCCATCCTAGTGTTGTCGCCGCCGGCCGGCCTGCTCGCGGTCCATCCATCCCCTGCCGCCGAGTCCGACCTCCAAAAAAGCCGAAAGAATTATATTAGGAGTTACAGCCCGTAATCTCCTTCTTGCTCCCAGCCCTCAACGACGAAAAGGACACACTGGCGACTGGCAGCCCATCCCGCCACCGCGGAGACCCAAAACCATCTAGAGCCCAAGTCTGCCCATCTTACATCTGCAGCCACTTCCCTTGACCTGTGCACATGCCCTGCACTGATTCTCTGCCTAGGAAAGGACCATGCAGCTAGAGATTAAAGTGGCCCGGACTTCATCATCTCCTATTTATACAACAAGCTGCCTCCTCGCTGGGCAGACCTGTTTGGAGAGGAGATCTAGCAACTTTTGAAAAATCGGAAGGTCAGTGGTACCCTGATAAGCCACTCAAGGGCTCTGGCTTCCCCTGCATCCACATTGGGGAGATGGTGGACCCTGGGGTAGAGCTGGCTGCCAAGCGGAGCAGGCTGGCAGTGGAGGATGTGCGGGCCAATGTGCCTGAGGAACTGAGTGTCTGGATTGACCCTTTCAGGGTGTCCTACCAGATTGGTGAGAAGGGAGCTGTGAAAGTGCTGTACCTGGATACAGTGAGGACAGTGGTGACCCAGAGTGGACAAGGAGATCAAGAGCAGCTTCAACCCTGATGCTCAGGTATTTGTGCCCATTGGCAGCCAGGACAGCTCTCTGTCCAACTCCCCCTCCCTGACCTTCGGCCAGTCACCCAGCCCCACCTTCATCCCTCGTTCTGCCAGCCCATCACTTTCACCATTGCCTCTTTTGCTGCCACCAAATTTGGCTCTACAAAGATGAAGAAGGGTGGAGGGGCATCTAGTGTTGGGGGCGTGGCCAGCAGTGGGGCAAGTGGCCAGCAGCCACCACAGCAACAGCCTCGCATGGTCTCTCACCCACCAACAACCTGCTGATGCACAAGAGCCTCTCTTTGGCAGTGTGTTCACTGAACTTCATCACAGCCACCTCGGCCCCTCAGTCCCAGCTCTCACCCAATGCCAAGGAGTTCATGTACAATGGTAGTGGCTCACCCAGCCTCTTCTTTGATGCGGCTGATGGCCAGGGCAGTGGCACCTCAGCACCCTTTGCGGGTGGTGGGGCCAGCACCTGTAACAGCAGCAGCTTCCATATGGCCCAGGTATTTGGAGGTGGCACCAACAGCCTTTTCCTGGAGAAGACACCCTTTGTGGAAGGCCTGAGCTACAACCTGAACACCATGCAACACCCCAGCCAGCCGTTCCAGCCTGTTGTGTTGGCCAACTGACCACTCCTCCACCCAGAGGGCCAAGAGCACCCACGACCACAGATAAGAAAA